GTGGCAGTTGCAGTGAGATGAGATCGCACCACTGCATTCCAGCCTGGGTGACAGAGTGACACTCCGTGTAAAAAAAAAAAAAAAATAGGCCGGGCGCGGTGGCTCAAGCCTGTAATCCCAGCACTTTGGGAGGCCGAGGCGGGTGGATCACGAGGTCAAGAGATCGAGACCATCCTGGTCAACATGGTGAAACCCCGTCTCTACTAAAACTACAAAAAATCAGCTGGGCATGGTGGTGCGTGCCTGTAATCCCAGCTACTCAGGAGGCTGAGGCAGGAGAATTGCCTGAACCCAGGAGGCGGAGGTTGCGGTGAGCCGAGATCACGCCATTGCACTCCAGCCTGGGTAACAAGAGCGAAACCCCAAAAAAAAAAAAAAAAAATGTTGAAGACAAATTTCAGACACAACCACGTCCAGGCAATATTTTTAAATAAACCAAGTTTCCTTCCTTTCTATTTCTGCTTTCTGTTCCTTTTTGCCTAATTTTAGTGTCTGTCTTTCTAACATCACCATCCTTAAGGCATTTATTATTTATGTTCTCTAATAACTCCCCAGTAACAGAGGCAAACAGTTTAATGAACTAATTTATCACTGAATTTCTAAATGTAAGAAATATTTTCAAATATAGTAATAATCTCAAGAAAATAATGCTTAATTTAAATTTATTTTGAGAAATAATATTCTTTATTATCGTTAAGTTTTTTTTTACCTTTACTCTGGATTATTTGAACCAATAACACCTTTTTGAGTGTCAGCATGATGCTCTGATAAGTTTACAGATAAATAAACTGCTATGTAACACTTAGAGTTATTTACTAAAATTTGTTTAAAAAGTTGAAACTAGCTTAGCCTTTTTCCACTAAAACCACTCTTTATGAGATGACAGGAGAATTAGGAAACATTGTGTTATCTAGTTCTTAATTCAGGTGGCATTTATAATACTCATCTGCACTAAATTTTAAAACTTAACACCTGTAATAATTCTGCTAGGTTACAGTCTTCTCTTTGCCATAACTAGTTTTATGTCCTTGGGCAAGTGACTTATTCTTTTGGAGCCTATGTCTTGTTCCTGTAAAAAGAAGTAGCCGAGAAAGACCTTTCTAGTATTGAATTTTTGAATTTCACACTGGCATGAAAGAAATGTGCTATATCTCCACTGAATTTCTGTATCTTTTTGAAAGGGATTTGTAGAGAGGATATTGTGTGAGTAAGGTATGGAAGGGGCATTTAAAAACATTTAAAAACATCCTTCTGAAGGGAGCATTTAGTAATATGGATATTACACACATCAGTGGTACTTTTCAGCACAGGCATAATGCCTACTTTTTAAATGCTACATAATGGTAAATGCTATTTACTAGCATATATCATAAATGCTATTTATTTGTATATAGTAACTTAAGACTTAGCAGAGTAAAGTAACAATAAAAATTAGGTGGAGAAAGCTCTTCTTTTTTCTTTCTTTCTTTTTTCTTTTTTTTTTTTTTTTTTTTTTTTGTGAGACAAAATCTGCTCTGT